CCATTCAGTTCATTCAGTGCATTCACTGCTGGGCACTTTCTTTGATATGACTGTGGTGTAGTCTGGTAGTCTTCAGTCGTAAACGGTGGACAGTGGACAGNGTGCATTCACTGCTGGGCACTTTCTTTGATATGACTGTGGTGTAGTCTGGTAGTCTTCAGTCGTAAACGGTGGACAGTGGACAGTGCACCGCCGATAAAGTCGACAACAATCGAGGTAGTAAAAGTGAACGCGTTTGCGTTGGGTATTGCTGGTTTGCGCGCACAGATGCAGTAAACAGGGGACCGCCAAGTGGCTCATTAGAGGGCGACGCATCGATGCTTGGTGGAGCAATCGAAGACACGGTCATTTATATTTGCCACTGTGCTCTCCTGGCCACAAAGAGAAGGGCGCAGAGGAGATCGGCATGATGTTGCTGCTGCTGCTGCATTGTAAAGCAGCGCGCGCAGTGTTCAGTGTTGCCTAGTCCCGTTGGGAGCTTGCTCAGTGGCCACTACTGTGGAGAGAAAGAGAGGAAGAGGAAGCCTAATCGATCTCGATACGAGACTTGAGACTTTAAATCTGTCAAACAAAGCAGGCACTGGTGAAGCCAAGGCAGTGGTGATCGTCGTCCTCAATGTCTGTCCCGACAGACACACGCGCACCATTCGCCGTCGAGTAGTAGTAGTAGTAGTAGATGGACAGGCTCGATAGGCAAACTAGAGACAGACTGGGCGAGTGTGTGTAGTCAATAAAGCCGTAATGATGCGTCCCCGAATGGGTGCCCGCATGAGATGGGGCAGCAGTGGACAGCAGAGGACTACTGCTCACCCAGCCACCCAGACTGGTGAGTCAACCCACCCATGGCACCTGTACTGTCGACTTGTCAATTCGGCAGCAGCAGCACTGGTGCACTGCTGAAACTTGACATGCTTCAGCAGGCAAAGTTCGACGTGTAAAGCCTGCATCGTTTGAAATGATATAAATAATCGACCAGGCTTAGGAGGAGAAGAAGAAGTGTCGAAACTGCAAAACAGGTAAATTATGAAAAATGGCTCTTGTCACTCTTGCCAGTGTGCTGCACTGATATGAGCTACTCTAACATGAAGCAAAGCAAATGAATCAACGCCAGCCAACACAAACTGACACGACCAGTCAACTCGAAGTGTGATTAAATATGTATGAACTGCCGTTTGAGAATTGCCGTGCTAACCAGCAGAATTTTTGTTTAGTGGGATCTATCAATATACAAAAGTAATATTTTTTAGGCAAAAAACTACTTGTTTCTGGTTACCAAGTTTTTTTTACTAAGTTACCAAGTAGTGCGGAGGCACTACACTACTGTTTTTTAGAATATTCTTTTGGCCAATTAAATGCAGTAGACTAATCTGAGCTTGTCTGAAACCTGCAAACAAATACGACCAAAAGTAACTTTCCACGTCGGGTCACATTCGATAGTCGATTAAAGTAACTTTAAAGTTAATAGTCCATTGCAAATAGAGTCCAGTTCCACTGCTGGTAAAACGCTTCATCTCATCTGCGGAAATAGCGCAATGCCACCAAAATCAAGTGTGCATGGGCGAGTAGACAAATGTCAGTGGGCAAAACAATAGGCAGTTAATAGTCAGTTATACTGTGCAGACACAGTAAGGGATACTTTTGCATGCTAGCAGATAAATCGGTATTTTCCAGTGAATCGGGCCGGCAAGTGGTATTGGGCGCAAAAGCTCTGCAAGTGAGGCTGCGAAGTGGAAGATTGGCCGGAGTGATGTTTCCGATGAGAAATCAAAGGGGCACTCGCCTCAACAATTAAAGACGAGCCGCTAGCGGTTCTGCCCGAGCCAGAGAGAGAACTTTGGCCAGAAAGAATGCATGTGCGCTGAGTGACTGCACACATCCATTCCGTTTGATAAACGGTGGCAGTGTCTGCTCTGCACACAGGCCCGACAACTCTGCGAACCCGATCCAACAGATCGAGCAGCAGCAAGCCTGTTTGGAATATTGAAAGGAGGCTTAATCTGCATATAAATAGAATCGCATTGCCAGCACACACACACATTATCGTAGTATCACGCCATCAGCATTCGTTCTGTTTGCCATTACATGCTTCATTCGGTCGCCGCTTTGACACACTGGTCGATTGCAGTGCCCGATGCGAACAGCAAAGACAATCACTCGGCGTACAACACATGTACCAGTGAGGAAGGGCACTAAATCTCTGTCAGGCTGCTGCTGCCACTGCTGAAGCTCACTTGTCCAGGAGAGGCGTTCGTGTGTGTGTGTGTGTCTGTATGTGTTGCTCGAAGCGTGATGGCACTGTCTGTGCGTGGCGACACCACCACCACCAGCACTAGCACCAGCGCCCAACAACTTTACCGAGACACTTCCACCGAGACACCTACAGCCACTGGCGCAAGACCGACAGATGAACCCGATTTGACACGGTGCAGTGACATGGCAAACCCAACTGCCATTTGAGTCGATGCACTACTACTACTACTACTACTACCACCACCACCACTACCGGCAGCAATCAAGATGTCCCAAGGTGCGTCTATTGTGCTGCCAAATTGGCGCACAATGGCGCTCTCAGCAGTGGGCATATGGCGGTGGAGAGCGGAGGAGAGTGGGAGAACACGAACACAGCATGAACCAATTTCCCAGTCACAAGTCTCTCCAATTGGGTCTGTCTTCCCTCTGCCTGCAGAATCCTCACTACTCCACTGTATGAAGAATTACTGCACCTGAAACAGTACTGGCTGCTGTGAACACATGAGAAACACAGCGAGGCACTTCCGCAGCACCCGCACAAAAAGACAAGTTTCAGAGTGCAGGAAACTGGTAAAATAAACAAATGGTTCAATGGTGGCTAAAGAGGAGGCAAGCCAGTTAACGGACACAATATTGTCTTCAAACATAAAAGGGAAAAATTGTTCCAACTCTAATAATGAAAAATCAGTAATTAGTACGCTAAAAAGCAGGTGAATGATGGGTGCCGAACAAAAATCGAATTTGCCAGAACAACCCAAACCGGGTAATTCAATTTTTGAAATAGTTTTGTTTGTTTGACATTTCAGTGGATTGTCAATGCGAGAAAGGACGAAAGCACCGAAGCAGTAGTAGAGCGAATGAAAGCGAACGACATGCACTTGTCAGGACACACCGAGTAAGACTTGGGCAGAGTTTGCGCTAGTAAATAAAGAAAAGCAACAGCAGAAGCAGCAGCAAGGCGATTGTCCTGCACTGAGGGCACTTGCTGCTGCTGGTGATGGGGGTGCTGGTGCTGGTGGTGCTTTTGCTAGTGATGGTGGTGGTGGAATAAGAAATTCTCGAGGGCACCAGATAGCAGAATAATTCGCATGGACGAGCAAAGTGATAAACACGGGAAACAAGGCCGGCCAGAGGCTGCTGCTGCTCGTCTCTGCGAGCGCACAAATCATCACTGCTGCACGACTGCGGGCCACAGAAGGAGAGGGAGAGAAGGCCCAAAATGCCAACAGCAAAGCGCGCACACCGAAAGGACTAAATTGCATTAACCTCGCACAAAAGGCAAGGAGTGTATGAGTGTACGAATGTCAGTTCAATTGCCAGCCAGCGCTCCATCCGAAGAAGCAATTGAAATCAGCAGTGGTGGAGCACTGGTGGCGAGCTGGTGGCATCGGCAGCAGTCCCTCTTTGGAAGCTGGCTCCCCGGCAGGTCTGTGGGTGACAGTTCGTACGAGACACTTTATTTATGTATGACCTGATGGCAATCGCATGAATCGCCTGGTTCACTCACTCAAGCGATGCCGNAAAGGCAAGGAGTGTATGAGTGTACGAATGTCAGTTCAATTGCCAGCCAGTGCTCCATCCGAAGAAGCAATTGAAATCAGCAGTGGTGGAGCACTGGTGGCGAGCTGGTGGCATCGGCAGCAGTCCCTCTTTGGAAGCTGGCTCCCCGGCAGGTCTGTGGGTGACAGTTCGTACGAGACACTTTATTTATGTATGACCTGATGGCAATCGCATGAATCGCCTGGTTCACTCACTCAAGCGATGCCGGACTCTGCCAGCGACACGTCCCGCACGCTCACCGCCATCCGCACACATACACACGCTCACTTTCACTGCTGTGTTTGCCTTCGAGGACTGAGGGCACAGACAGAGACAGGGGACAGGGACACCGACTGCCGCTGACTACCGCCAGACATTTTCTAGTGTTCAATGACTTGACTGACGCCACTTGGCACAAATCTATTGAAATCGATTCGTGACAATGCACTCACTGCTCTGGATAGCTCAATCAGATGAAAACTACAACATTTTACATGCTGAGACAAATACACATGCAAGCGAGGCATAAAGGGCAATGGCGGACAAAGTTCCTAAGGTTAAGCGACACCATTTCAATGGTGTAGCAAATAAACTTGACAAATAGTGGTAGCAGCTAAAGTGCTGCTGGTGTTGGTAAGAGCTGCAAACGGTATTACCTACTCTAATAGTAGTGAATAAAGAGGAAAAGACCTAAAGCAAAACCGTCCTCTGAGAATACTCACTCGCAAGTTATCGATTAAGATAAATATTAACTGAATGGAGAAGAGTTCAAGTGGCGACGGTTACTAGTGTACTTGTCAAAAACCACAAATGTTGATTGAAAACACTGGCACATATAATTGAGACAAAGTAGACACCTACCTGACTGCGAATCGCCAAAATATCGAGCCATCTTTGCACCGACTTGTCTCACTTCGTTGTTGCCTAATAAATCTTCGGCACTTGAGCTCTCCTTTGCCCATTCAAGCACTAGTGGGCGTCCGTAGAGATGAGTGCTGTGGGATAGTACATCAAAGGCGCGCTAAAGGGGTTCGGCAAAAGATTAAATGTGAGCAAAAGAGGATGAATAGTAACAGACCTTGGCATCTTCATTAGTGGCAAAGTCAACAAAACCAAAGCCCCGGAAAGAAGATGAGCCGGCCAACTTTTTCGGAAGTCGGACTGTTTTAATTTGACCGTAGACACTGTGTGAAAAACGAATAAAATGAGAATTTTTGCTGCTAGAGGTGACATCTATTGCACTTCTGAAATCTATTTAATTTTTACCCGAAAATCTTTTGAATGTCCTTTTCAGTGGCTTCAAAAGGAATGTTTTTCACGCATATTTTTGAGCCCGTCTGTTTTTGGCCTTTAGTTTTGGGCTTTCGTGTTGAGCTGGCCGTCTCAGCAGGCTTATTCACAGTTCGGTTAGACATCTTCAGCTCCAAAGTGTGACCTTCAAGAACTGAACTTTGCATCCGTTTGATTGCTTCTTTGGCGTCCTTGGAGCTCAAAAACTGCACAAATCCATAGCCCATTGATAGAAGACCGTTTGCTGACTTTTTAGTAGCAATGGTCGCCTTATAAACGCGTCCAATTTTTGAAAAATGATCACTTAAGTCACTCTCCTCTGTTTGAAAATTGAGATTCTTCACAAAAATGGTAGTGTCGTCCTCTGGCAATTCTGTCTCTTCTTCGTTTTCATTTTCCGCAATCTTTTTTGGAGGCTCTTGGGAGGTCGTTTTTAAGTTACTCAAAGTATCTACAAGTGGAAGCTCAGCATTAGATGCATTTCCATCAAACACATCTTCCGGTGCCCACTCAAGATAAAGCGGATAGTGTTTGAAGTTGGTGTAAGCTAGCTTTTTAAATGCAAATTTTGCTTCATTTGGCTCTTGCATTTCAATAATAGCGGTAACCTAAAAAGATTTAAAATATTAAAGTTCATGTCACACAAAACAGCCTGCAAAACTTACCCCGTATGGCGGTAAAATGACTCGATTTACAAGACCAAACTTGGAAAAAAGTTGCATAATTTCACCTTCTGTAGTCTCTGCGGGTAAATTTTTCACTAAAATCACAGTTTTGCTTCGAGGACAGTCGTGGCCTCTGCTGAAAGAGTCCAGGGAAACCATGTTCCGCACTAAAAATTGGCGCACTTCATTGACAATTTGCGTTTCACCGAGGGCCATTCTCACTGCGACATTGTCTTTCTTGTTGCTCTGAGTGAGCAAATCAAGCTTGTTCACTTCAAACTTCTTTGTCATAATGTCAGCCACTGCATTGGGCCT